TGAAAAACCCAAAATCGCTCGAAAAGCGGAAAAGACCAGACCGTGAGTGGACAATTCGCTGGCCGAGTGCCAAAAAGGCAAAAATGCCGGCCGGGGCTAACCAGGTGAGGCGGGAAGGGGCGCGTGACGTGTGTTTGTTGTCGAATTCTCGCGCATGCACCTCCAACCTGTTTCGGCCTTGAATTTCGGGCGCATCCCGCCGAGACTCGATAAACATCGTTTACTAGCAAACGGGCCTGGGTTTTGGCGATTTCATTCTGGCTTTTTGGCTTATCTGGCGGGATTTCCGCGTATTGATTTATTGTACTAAATTGTTTTAACGCCGCGTAAATGCAAAAAACTTTTGTGTGTTATATGCTAGACGGTTATTGATTTTTTTGTACCTTTCTTGGATCAAATTCGCGTTCGTGTAGCGTTCCCGTGTTTTTAAGGGTTGAGCGAAAAGGGAGAAAGGAGCGGCATTCCCCTTTCTTCCGCTATCTTCCCCTCTCAATAATTTAGACCTCCTCAAAACGTGTTCCTTGGTTTAGAAATGCGAGCCCTTTCCTTAGCTGAGACTCTGAATTTCCATAATCTCGCCACACGGGCAACACCTCGTCTTTGCAAACGGAAAATCTCGCCTTGAACGTCTTTGGACTCAGTTTCACTAAGCTTTTGTTTTTAGTTACGCTATAACCAGCCATAATTTTTCGATTTTTGCTCTCTATAACTACCCACTTCCGATTTTGCATCCAGCAAAAATTAGAGGTAGTACAAGGTATCGCCTCTTATAATAACAGGCTGACGCTACACCACTACCCCGCGGAAAGTGCCTGAATTTCCGAATTCGCCAATTAGCTCATGGCATTTTAAAGATGCCAATAAGGCGAGTTACTGTATTTTCTGCAACCATGCATTCCGATTTTCATATTGACTAAGTATAGCTTGTGGTTTATTGAGTTTTATGTAACAAAAACTGCTGTTGGCTAGGTGCACGTTGCTCGTAAATAGCTAGTGCCTCATAAAATGGGTTTTTCCGGAATTTGTACGAACGTGTGGTATAGCTTTTTGCGGGGATATTGTGCTTATTTCCCCTTAATGCCGGCCTTTACTCTATTTCTGTGGAGAAACTTAATGCTAGCATCATGTATTTTTCGTGTTTATAACGTAACCTTGCCCATTCTTTCCAGACAACAATGAGCGTACACTCCAACGTGCCCTGGTCGCTGAGCCCGGAACCGGTGCAGCTGATCGTCGAGCGGATACCGGACGATTTTTCGCCGAACAATTCGAGTGAATTCATCCTCGGCAGCAACAAGGGGACCAGCCGCTGGTATCGACAGGTGAAGCTGGAGGTTTTTCATTTGGTTGGGTGACTAGGAAAAGGTGTCTAATTCTTAGAATGATACCCTACTGGTTAAAAATTTATAAATTGCAATTTACTAGGCTTATTGTCACAGATTTGGGTATAATGCCTATTTTAAAGGACCCAGCAAGGCTTGTGTATTGATTCGTTGGCTATGAATTCCTGCCGGCGACACGCAATCCAGGGCCAGAAAAATGCAGATTCATGCCTTGCTAGTCCCTTTAAATCTAAATTATGACCCACGCAGGCACCATAACCCATTTTCAGCCTAAAAATCCCCCAAAAAACCGCGGCAAGGACCCAAATGGGGTAATACATAAATACTGTGGTTATCGTAAGCTAGATAAATTATTTTACTGCCCTATTTTTGCTACAGTAACCCCCGTAGATCCTTTGGTTGCAGGGCTGGATGCCGCTGCTGCTGATTTTTGTCGTGTTGTTCGGCTGCACAATTTTCGCCGTCGTCGTGTCGATCATTATCGCGTCGCAGCGCCTCTCCGCCTACCACCACTTTTACCCGGATGGATAGAAAAAAATAGAGCATTGATTTTTCGTTGTATTTTGTGGCCCGTCAGCTCAACGTGTACAAAATAACCCGCCTCAAAATGATGCATTTGATGGATTGAATAAAGCTTTTTAATGGCATTCTGTGGTTTCTATGGACGCACTAATAATATAGCAGCGAAATTAATCTCGTACACGAGCTTTTTATTTCAACCAATCTAGAAATAGTGATTTTTTTTTGCAAACGCGGAAACAGGGGTGGTGAAAAGGGATTTACCTTCAAAATGTCGCAATTTTTTGCACCAAATTTGAGGCCGTTTTCCAGTAAAATTAGCCTCTGTAAATTTCGACATCAAAATTATCAATTCACATTGTAAATTTCGACGTTATGATTTTCGACATTTTGAAAGAAACCTGCATACGAAACTAACCCGCTTTAAATTCGTATTTTAAATTAATATCTAATTTTCAGACCTGGTTCAGCGTCGAAAAGCCCAAATTAACGTTTCAGACGGGTCTCGTTGCCATAACCGTACTGACAATCTTGCTCGTAGCCGTGATACTCGGCGTATTCGCGGCAATTGTCGGCGCCGCCAGCACCCTATACCTTAACAATCAATTCGCCATTAATGGCCCCAGGCTTGGCTGAATTGTTTTTTTAATAAATCAAACTCCAAATTACGATGAGATTACACACGAAAAAAATGGATTTTCAGACGTGCAAAACTATTTTTAGGGTTTTTTTACCACCAGTTTAAATTATAGCGGATGGCCGCTGAAAGGGCTTTTTTCTGAGGTATTCACGTAAAATTATAGATAAAAATTTAGCAAAAGCTGCAAAACATTAAAATGCTACAACTTGGCCTTTTCCACGGGCACATTTTTCTTCAAAAATTCAATCATCTTGGGCCATAACTTTCGTTGATCCACATTTTGCAGATAGGTATGTCCGCCGAAATCCATTATTAAGTCTTCAAAATTAGATTAACGTTGAATATAACCAAAAATTACCTAGATTCTTGGCGTATCCAATATCCTGGACCGGAACATATGGAGGTTCGATGTTATGGCCGGTATTGGGAAGCACAAGCATTTCAAAATTCTCGGCTTTTCCGAGTCTAAAAATTTGTTTTGAGGTATGGAGGCCTTAAATAATCCTAGAAAAATTACATGACATTCTAAAACTACCTAGACATCCTTTCTATAATTAATTTAGCATTCAAAGCCGAATTTTGCGACCCGTCCTGCCCGCCAGCCTGGAAAAAAACTTTTTTGCCTTACGCATTTATAACCGACCACGAGCAAAAATTTGGCATTTGAATCCTCAATCTTGTAAAAAATCTCGTCGCGCACATCCAGGCCATCGTCGGTTTTTGCGTAGTTCATGGCACCCTGTCGACAGTCGGTGTCGATCAAACGCCGCAGCGGGGTGCTAGAAAAGACTGTAAAATTACATGGCCGGTTGAATTTTATATTAAAAACATACCCACCCAATAAAGGCTTTAAAAAATATAACAATGCTTACTCCGCGAGTGGCAAAAGCTTCCCATTTTCCTTAAAAACAGAATGCACCGTCGGGTAGCCGCGAGAGTTCAGCAGGATGACAGCGGAGACCTGGAAATAATACTGAATGGCAATAAAATTAGATAACTCCATGAAATCGATTTTTCGTAAGGTATCCATTAAAGCGTATATTTTATAGCTCAATACCTACCTTTGGATGCTTTGACGCCATGTAACAGCAAGCTCCCCCTCCGGCCGAAATTCCGATCACTCCGACCGTCTTGCTAGCGTAGGGTTGGGCTAGTATCCAGTCGATTGCTTTCTAAGTTGACTAGATAAAAGGGAAAGCAATAAAAAAGAAAAATAGCGAAAATAAGGAATAACCAGGGTTGAAAAGCCGCTTCGCGACTTTTCAACCCTGGCCCCGTCCAACCCAATGAAAGTTTACACGTTGCATAATCCGGCACGCCCACGCTGAAAAAAAGTGAAAAATGCGCTCTCTGCTACTTTATATAGGCTCTCCCCATTTCCGGTATATGCTAATTGATTCCTAACAAAGAGGGCTTTGGATTTTTCAACAAAAACTAAAATTTGATGTCGAAAATAAGGGATTTTGATATATCTTATATGCGTGCAGTCATCTCCAGACCATTACGCTCCTAATGACGTGTCAAACATGCCCCTAACTACTCTCCTTCTTGAGATACGACTGGAACAACCTGACGGAAGTTGCATGCAAAGTGGCACACACACACAGACACTATTTTTTTATATATAGTAGAATGTCTAATAATAATAAAATTAAACCAGCCCCAAGGGTAGATGAATCTCGTAATGTCGTGTAACACTTACCAAAAAATATGTGCTCTCATTTTGTTGCCACGTCTTTGGCGTCCGTTTCCCCCCAAATACAGTAAGGGCAAGGACGGCAAAGCCCTGAAAATATAGATTTTCCGAAGAAACGACGGACCTACCTTTTCAGCTAGTAAAGCTGCTCTTTGCTCAAATGCACCCAGCATACCGTAAATGTCGATTATTGCTGGGAAAGGGCCATTTCCTAAAAGTCACTGAAATTTACGACATTACTACGCACCCTTACCTTTTGGTTTAAAAATAACGCCATCAATCGCCGAGTCCACTACAATCCTCTCGACATTTGGTGAGAGTAAAATACGGTATATTGACTTTTCCGTGATGACCTAAATTCAGGAAAAGATAGAATTCATTAGGTTCTTATCAAAGCCCTTTAGAGATTGCTTTGTTACCATTAAATGGTTATCATTAGATCCCAAAAATTACCTTTCCGGGAGCGTACACATTCGCCTCGTGGACTTGAATCTTGTACTCTAATTTTTCCGGCAATGGATTTAATGACATTTTTGTGGCAAATCTTGCAGTGCCTTCTTGGTATAAACTTGAGAATAATCCCATTCTATCGTAACCTAAAGGGTTTAAAGGTAAAAGAAATAAAATCAGGTTGTCCACCTGAATAATGCCCATGAACCGCCATTGAATTTGCCACAATAATTTCGCCATTTTCATCAGACCGGAACCGGGCGTAGGACCGAAAGGTGTTTTTGTGCGTAGTTCTAATTTTTTTCTGTCAAATACCATCAAATTTATAAATACCGTAGCGTAATGAAATAATCCTTATGCGGCTCTAAACCTGTGATACTAAATTCATCGAGATCAGCATCGAACATAGAGATTTCCGGCAGTACATTGATGACAACCATTTAAGTCCAGAAATACGAATAATAGCTCGGCTTCAACAACGCTGATAGGACCGGAGAAGGCGGAAGTTTTGTGCGGGTCCAATCAAAAAACCGGAGGAGCCTGATAACGAAATCGATTCCATCCTGCCGAACACGCCGGGAGAACCAAGACACATCACGTAGAGTCGAGGCGGTAGCTTGATTTGATTTGATCGGGGATCAAATGGAATTTCGGTTCATCAACCATGACATAATATATCGTTGAAACCGAAACCCATTAATAGTGAATTTAGCTAGATAGCTTTACTAAAACCTAGCGAATTTTCGATGTGGCTGAAACTTTTGTAAACTTGCATTCTTGACATTACTTCGAAATTAAGCTTGGCACCTCAATGCTTTCGTTGTTGTTGTCAGCAAAAAAAAAAAAACAAACCCCCCCCCCCCCCCCCCCCCCCCCCCCCCCCCCGGCCCCCCCCAAAAACCACCCACCCACCCCACCCCCCCCCGAAGAAAGGAGGCCCCCCACCCCCCCCAGAAAAAAACCCCCCCCCCACCCCCCCCACGGGCGGGCCCCCGCCCCCCCCCCCAAAATCACCGGGCCCCCCCCCCAATTTAAGTTGAAATTTCAAAAATTTATAGATCAAAAATCAAAATTCGAAAGTCCTGGCTTCATAAATCAATACGCACGATTTTTCTGGCGTAATTCATAGAGACTATCATCGCCAGAGTGTCAAAAAAAACTAAAAAAGTATCGAGGTATCAATTTTCTTGGTAATGACCGCTAAGGTATGATTTGAAGCGTGTTACCTGCGGCTTTAATCAGGCTCCATTTCTCCGACCTGCATAATCTTGCCATTAATACAGAGAAGCACCTGTTTTTCTGGCCGTTGGTGCGGAACAACGCTGATTTCTGCAGATCAATCATGGCCACAACAACACCCCCTATCAACGGGTGCTTTTATGCCCCGAGGGCTTCGTGGGGGATTTGTGGGGGACCGAATCCTAGTCTCGAGCGCACGTCCGAGTTAACAGCCCCCTTGTCTGATAAGATGGCTAGCTGCAGTCGGAAGCTTGGTGTCGTCGGCTTGTTATTCGGGTCAAATTCATGGAGCTGTTAAGCCTCGTCTGGATATTTTTAATTTATCAGGTACCCTCCAAGTTCCGATGTAAATAGCAGGTTTTAGGGCGTAATCAGTGAGAGTATTACTGCGGCTTCGGATACTGACAATGTGCAAAAGAAAATTTTATTTCAAGGGATGCACGCATCTGATTCGCATATAGCGAGTAGTATGCCTTACGCATTACGGTAGGTATCTAAAACGTTTTATTTCGTATATCATCGCTCGCTCTCAAACTCTCTCTCGCTCTCTCACTCACTCTCTCTCTCTCTCTCTCTCTCGCTCTCTCTATCTCTGGCTTAAACTAACCTTCCTTGAACTGCAGCTTCCACCGCGAGGGCCATTACGTGGAATTCCTCGAAACGCACGAAAAGCCCCAGCCCTACAATTACCCTCTCGGCATTAACAATACCTATATACAACTGGAAAGTAAGGAACCACCCCAAACTCCCATAAATTTTCCAGTCTAGGCAAGCACAGTTACGAGGCGCTGTTCAGGGCAGTGTGGCGGAACTATTTTGGCGCACAAGTATTTTCCTCCGTTTTTCTGGTCGGGGAAAATGTGTTGAGGCAGATTTTCGAGACTCAGAGAGCAGAGGTAAGGCAGAAAATAGTGCTGATTTAATTGTAAGCTGATTAATCGTATAGATTGAAAAATTTCTGGAAAAGAAATACGACCTATTAATTATCGACGAGATTTTCTCGATTTTGGGCTATGGATTGGGGTTGAAAAGAAGAGAAGAAGGTGGGTAAAATGCCATTTTATCATCTTATATATAATTTTTATAGATAGCTTACTTTGTAAAGGTATATTTAAGGCATACCATTTCTAACCATGGCCTCTTGTGCAAGCACCAACATTATGCAACATCATTTATCACTGGGTACGGTAGAATATCCAATTTTTAAGCTTTTTTTTAGGAAACAACTTTATCACCAGACCGAGTTATTTTGGCCTTCCGACTAAACAATTTGATCCGGCGCGTTTTAGCAGCCGGCTGGACACTTTTTGGGAGTCTGGTAAGTGAGAAAGTGTCATGACGCGTTTTTAAGAAATTTATTACAGGAAATTCACTGTTTTCAATATAAGCAAACAACTTTCATGCACTTAACTATCCATTTTATCCTATTTTCAGTCTCCGACCTCCTACTCGTCGAACACGCGCTGCAGAACCACGCCCAGGAGGGTGTTAAAAATCTAGGACTTGCTGGATTTGAGTACAAAGATATTGCTCGGAAAACTTCGTTCTACCTCTATGATGAGATTACTGTATTTACCTATCCACAACCCTGTAAGTAGAGGTTATAAAACTTCATATCAAGTTTTTGGTGGGATCCGAGACGTTGCTCGTGGGATTCCATTGCGCTAAATTCGCAACTTTGTCTGGAGAATACTTGGAACATGTTGAGCATCCGGGATCCAAGGTATCGGTTTTTTATTAAATCGAAAAAAAAACCCCAATCGAATTCTTTTCGATTTTCCGCGTGGCGACACGCAACGCGCACGCTGCTTGACCGTGATGTAGGCAGCGTAATCGATTACGTCATGGAAAGATTTTACGGTGCGTTGCGTGTCGCGGCCGGGTCGAATCCATAGGAAATTGCTAGACGCCGCGTCTATGCTGATTTTTAGGGAACAATTCTAATCGCTTTCGGCACGAATGTCAAGTGGGAATTCGCTCCAGCAGAGCTGATTTTAGCTTTCGTCGATGCATTAAATTCATTACCAGAATTTCGGTGAGTAAATGCCTAATTTCTTTCATAGAATCTTTTTTCTCAGGGTGATCTGGACCTACAATGGGCTGCCTGAACACGTGAAGGACCTAAAGTCACATGTCCTACTGACAAAGTGGGCACCACAGAAGGAGATTTTGAAACATGAGAAAACGGTGGCCTTCGTCTCACACGGCGGGATGAAAAGGTACAAATTTTTGGGAGAGTTTGCAAAGTCTATAGAGCTGAAAATCAGCTATGAACTATTGCAAAGCATCTAAAGGCGGGATAAATACAGCAAAATATATTTTAAGTGTAAAGGACACAATCTGCGCCGGAGTTCCTGTCGTTTTCATGCCAATTCTGGCTGAGCAAAGTTTGAATGCGGAAATGTGCCGGCAAGCAGGTAGAATATTTGAATTTTTGAGCTTTTAGAGGGGCGGAAAGGCAAGAAATATATATTTTTGCTTGTAGATAGTTTTTAGGCAAATTTCTTTCGCGACACGCAACGCATGCCCCAATTTTTGATTGCGAAATGCATCCCTTAATTTGAGCCCTGCGGTGTGTGTTGCGTGTCGCGGCGAGGCGAAAAAAAAACTGTACTACAAAATGATAGATAAAACAGCAAAGAAATTAATACATCGTTTAAGTCAAACGATGCTCTCTAAATCTTGATTTAGGTTTCGGTGTCACCTTGGCAAAAACGGAAGTGACCGTAGAAAAATTACGAGATGCACTTTTGACAGTGACAGGTACCGAAATTTTATAAAACCTGATTCTTTTGAAATAGAGCCCTCCTACAAAGCGGCAATGCTCAAATTCCAATCATTCTATTTCGACCGGCCAATCGATTCACTAGACCACGCAACGTGGGCGGTGAACCGAGCCATGGCCGTCGCGCCACGATTCCCGACTTTTAAGAGGAGGGGCATGGATTTGACTTATAGAGAGCATTATCACTTTGAAATTGTTTCTGTGATGTTGTTAGGTATTGTTTTATTAACGTTATAAAGGTTAACAACATTGGCATACCAAATAATAAAAGGTGCTACAGGAGATCGGCAAATGGATCGAAGGAACAACTCAAACCCCCTACCAAAATTAATTTAAAGTTGTAAAATACAGTAGTCAAAAGGGGTCCACTGTCATTTCGAATTCAGCGCCGACAAGTATCCAATATATTTTGTATACTCGATTAAAGTAGAAAACCATTGACAGAGGGATACGATAATTCCCGTCTTTCTAGAAACAAAGTATTTTTATCGTCGTTTAAGTCCATTTATAAAGGGTTAATGTATATAGCATACCCGCTTAAAACATAAAAGGATACGTTGGCCAGCCCGAAACCAACGCTAAAATATATAAAAGCGAAAGTAAGCTTGACATCGGGTGCGAAACGCTAAAACTAATTAATTAAGCGAATCACAAAGAGCCAATTTACATTTCGTCTTGATTCCGTTTTTGTAATACTCGTCAAGGTAGCATTAGTCCTATTATTTTGTTCAGATGTCTCTGAAATAAAAATTTCAGATAAAAAATAAAACTACCGGCGGGCTGAGAAATGGTAGTAGTAGTAGTAGTAGTAGTGGGAATCGCAACCTGCTTATTATAATTTTTATAAGCCTTGGTTTGACGGATTTTTAAGATCAAATAAATATCAGCGGCAATTAAGGATACGGCAGCGATTGCCTAAAAATAATTTATTGACGGTGTTGTAGGTGTGGCTGTGCGTGAGTTCTTGAGTGCTGGCTCACTCCAAGGGAATACCTTGCGAGAGAGTCGTTTGACACCTGAATTGATTTGGACGAAAGAAGAGAGAACAAAGTATTTATCTAAATAACGGCAATAGCCTAAAATAACACAAGCAGCCAGACAAGACGGGCGAAGTGGAAGGAATGAATAAGACACGCACAAAAATGGGGTTTGTGCCGGGGGACGGGGAGGGCGCACACAGGGCGTAGTGCAAAGGGGTGCGCCGTACAGGCATCGCGTAATTGGATCAAGACTTTCTTTCTTGCCTCCGCAACATCTTCCTCCTTGAATGAAGAGCTTGACTTGATGATGAAGTTGAGCTTGACAGAGACGACGTTGACGGCACTTCAATCTTGATATCGCGACGGCGGCTTCCGGATGCGCTTGTGGTGAAAGATCGGTCCAAGGGCATCAGTCTTCTTTTTGTCTTCTTCACAGGTTGTGCTTGATCTTGTTGACGAACTTCAGGTTCTTCGTCGCGTCCTTGTGGTTGTGGAACAACGTCATCGAGTTGTTCAATTTGCGGGTGTTGAGCAACGATTTCGGGCAGTTCAACTTGAGGTCGTCGCGGCACGGCTGGTGATCTTGCCGGCGATCGTGGGTGCGACTTCGGTGGCGACTTTGGTGTTGTTGTCGGCCGGTGAGCGGTGGGATGGGGAACATTCGGAACAGGTGCAAGGGGAATCAATGTAGGAGTTTTGGCGGATGATGCGGCTGACTTCTCGAGAGGCTTGTCAAGAGGTGGAGCAGTGTCCTGCACATTGACTTTATCATCGCTGGCAAGATCGAACTCTTCCAGGATATCATCGAGTACGTCTCGAACGAATCGAGCCCGTAGCTGGTTGGCATGTCGACGCCAAACGACTCCAGAGGTAGTTTCAACCTCGTACATGGACTTTCCACACAATTTAGAAATACGTCCTTCTACCCAGACAGGTTTGCTAGGGATTTTGTAATCTCGAACCCAGACGGTCTGGTCGATTTCGTAGGAACGCTTCTTTGCGCCGTGCTTCCGGTTGTACTGTTCAACCATCTTCATCTTCTCCCCCTTCGGAAAGATGAGATTCGCACTAGTATTGCTGTTGCTCTGGGGCAGACGCAAGCGAGCAATGGGAGTAACAAGCTTTCTCCCGATAAACCTTTCAGCCGGAGATAGCTGTTCTGGTGAAGATGGGCAAGGGGTGGACCGATAAGTTCGCAGAAAAATTTGCAAAGTTTCAGCGTTAGTCGAACCAGCGGCTTTGCTCAAAGCGCGCTTGAAGGTATCGACGAAACGTTCGGCCAAACCGTTCGACTGGGGATGGAACGGTGGCGTGCGAATATGGTTAATTCCACGTTCCTTACAGAAATCTTCAAACTCCTTCGAAGTGAATTGAGTTCCGTTATCCGAAACGAGCGTTTCCGGATCTCCGAACCTGGAGAAAACATCTCTCAACTGGGCAATCGTCACTCGGCTTGTTGCCACCTTACACTCAAAGATTTCAGGCCATCTTGAGTAAGCGTCGACAACGATCAAATACATTTTTTGATCAATCGGACCGGCATAATCGATATGCACGCGCTCCATTGGACGATTTGGGGTAGGCCAGGGAGTCAATTCACTTTTTACAGCCATCTTCTGGGCTTTCTGACAGCCTTCGCATTCTTTCACGATGCGATCGATGTCTGAATCCATGCCAACCCAGTACACATATTGCTTTGCGAGCAATTTCATTCTCGTTTGGCCCGGGTGGCCTTCATGAAGCATTTTTAGGATTCGCGATTGCAGCCTTTTCGGCACAACAACTCGCTCTTTCAGAAACAAACAGCCTCGGTGAATTGACAAGTTATTTACAAGACTTTTGTAGGCGTACAGCGACGAGCCTGGCAAACAGTCTGGAAAAGAACCACTTTTCAGAGAGTCAATCACGCTGCTGAGTGAATAATCCTGTTCAGTTTGCTCAGCAATTTCCTTGTGTGAAACTGGGATTTGGCTCAATTTATCCTCAAAAACGGCCGAAATGTCGATTTCTATCTGCGAAATCACGACATCTTCTTCAGGATCCGATTTTGGCGGAATCAGACGGGAAAGGGCATCCGCTTGACCAAACTTGGTCGTGTTACGATATTCAATAGAAAAATCGTAGTTGTTCAATTGCAAACACCACCTTTGCAAACGGTTTGCGGTGTGTTGTGGGATTCCTTTTTTCGACCCGTATATCGGTAAAAGGGGCTTATGATCCGTCAGTAATACAAAACGCCTTCCGTAGATGTATCTGTGGAAGCGCCGAATTGCGAATACGAGGGCTAAGCCTTCTTTTTCAATCTGGCTATAGTTCTTTTCTGCCACAGTCAATGCTCTGCTAGCATGTGCGATTGCTTTTTCAGTTCCATCAGCGAATCGGTGGGTAATGACTGCCCCAAGGCCTTGCTCACTGGCATCAGCGGCGACGACGATCGGCAACTTGGCGTCATAGTGACAGAGTAACAAATCGGAAATTACAATTTCCTTGAGCGACTGGAACGCTCGTTCACAGTCCTCACGCCAGAGAAACTTTGCGTCTTTTTCTCTTCAACTCGTCAAGCGGGGCGCGCAACTGTCGCATACGAGGAATAAAAAGACTGGTAGAACGAAACCATGCCCAAAAAGCTTTCAACTTCTTTGAGGCAGGTAGGTCGTGGCATATTTGCTATCGCAGCCGTGCGTTCGCCATCGGGTCTTCGGCCTTGGGCATCGAGAATGAAGCCAAGATACTTTACCGAAGCCTGGCCGAACGTGCACTTTTCCATTTTGACGCGCAATCCGAACTTTGCGATTCGCTCAAACAACTGACGTACCCTGTCGTCATGCTCCTCCTGGTTCCGGCCGGTGATCAACAGATCATCCAGGTAGGCAGCGGTACCGTCCAAGCCTGCGATCAAATTATCCACAATTTTCTGGAAAATACCGGGGCTGTTTTCACACCAAATATCAGTCGTTGATACTGATAAAGTCCCTTGTGTGTGTTGATTGTCAGGTATTCTTGGCTAGAAGCCTCAACCTCGACTTGTAAGTAAGCATCTTTCAAGTCAATCTGGGAAAACACTTGTCCACCGTTGAGCTTGGTGAAAATTTCTTCCGCTGTGGGAAGAGGATGATGGTAATCTTGCAACGCATCATTCAAGCCGGTAGAAAAATCACCGCAAAGTCGCAATGAACCGTCCTTCTTCTTGACTGGAACGACCGGAGCCGCCCATTCGCTGTAAGTGACTGGTTTCAACACAGTCAAATCAACGAGACGTTCAATTTCCTTTTCAATGGCTGATTCCATCGAGAATGCGACGCGTCGGAATGGCAGAAAAATTGGCTGTGCCTCGGCTTTGAGTTGTAACTCAGCCTTAGCAACAGTGCATAAGCCTAGGCCATCCGTAAATACACTTGGGTATTTTTCAACAAGTTCCTTTTCAAGCTTTGATTGCTTCACTTGAACCTTATTGACACACAATTCATCGAAACAGGATGCGAATTGTGGCAGCTGATTGATCCAATCAAGCCCCATCAACCGAATGTCTTTGGTGACGAAACAACGGCCATGTCCCTCAATGCCTTTCACTTGAAAGCGGGTTTCAAACAATCCTTTCACGTCAATTCGACTACCGTTGGCAGCTCGTAGTTGAATATCCGACGGCGTAAGTGGTGGGCAATTCAACTGATGCCACACAGCCTCGTCAATAATAGTTACTGCAGCGCCAGTATCTAATTGTAGCGTGAAATGGATGTTTCCGATTGAAATTTCGACATCCTTGCGCGTCGAATCAATAGCATTGATTTGCACAATCTGGTTCACCTTCGGTTTCCAGTCCTTGTTTCGGTGGTTTTGTTTTCCTTGCTTGGAAAAATTACCTCCACGGTTGCCAGAATCAGAGCGACACTCATTTGCCCAGTGTCCTCGCTTTCCACAATGATGACACACATCATTACGCTTGTCTCCACGGGGCCGATCATTGGTATCACAAGGCTTTGAGCCACCATTGCTAGAGGTAGGCTTTGGGCCCTTGTTCCAAGTCTTTCGGTATCCCGACTGCTGGATACGATTCACATTGGCATGCTGTTCGACCACAACATCCATGTTCAGGCTCGTCTGCAAGGGTGACACTCGCGCAGCAGATCATCCAGTTTCACGTCATTCTTTGACTCAAGAATACGGATCAATTTCTTGCGGATGTCGCGATGTGCCTGGTCTGACAGTCCAGCAACGAAAAGTAAACACTTTTCTTCATCTTCCTTCATTTCCTTGACACGACCCTGCTCGTAGAGTTTGTTGACGCGAGCGGCGTAGGATCGCATATCCTCATCGTGCTCTTTCGCCACGCGAAAGGCGAGGAAACGTCGACTGAAAAGCGACAGCTTTTCTCCAAACATCTCAGTCAAATGCTTGACGATGTCGTCGTATGCGATCGAAGACAGCTCGGTGGGTCGAGCATGATCCGCTAGCAAGCCATAGGATTTGGCATCCAGCATCCCGAGAACAAGATGTTTTTTGTTCTCCTCCGAGATGCGCGATTCGTTGGCGATGAGGTTTTTGAACCGCTCATGCCATTTTTCGAAGGTAATCCCCTGGGACGGGTCATACTCGAATCGACTTATGCGAGTGGCTAGAGCGCCCAACTCGACTGCATTCAGAGGCCTTTGACTTTGGCTTGAATCTTCGCTAACCGAGTCCGTGTGCGTTTGGACCTCGGCGCGGATCCGCTCGAGCTCAGCCATGAGCTTGGCTTCTCGCTCTTGCCCGGCGACCATGACAGCGGTCATCTGCTGGTTCGCGGCGGCGAGCTGCTTCAGCACGTCCTTGAGCTCGGGGTCGTCGGCCATTCTTCAATTCGGGCTCGAATCCTTGATCGCCAATTGTTGTAGGTGTGGCTGTGCGTGAGTTCTTGAGTGCTGGCTCACTCCAAGGGAATACCTTGCGAGAGAGTCGTTTGACACCTGAATTGATTTGGACGAAAGAAGAGAGAACAAAGTATTTATCTAAATAACGGCAATAGCCTAAAATAACACAAGCAGCCAGACAAGACGGGAGAAGTGGAAGGAATGAATAAGACACGCACAAAAATGGGGTTTGTGCCGGGGGACGGGGAGGGCGCACACAGGGCGTAGTGCAAAGGGGTGCGCCGTACAGGCATCGCGTAATTGGATCAAAGACTTTCTTCTTGCCTCCGCAACAGACGGTATTATACTAAAATCATTAAATTCACCTGCATAGCCCAGGTCGAATGATGCATAAAATTGTAGGAATCCTTGGATTCATCAAAATTCCAATAATACCCCGGAATGTGGAATATAAATCCACAACACGAGGTGTACTGTAAGATTGTAAAAACTAAAAAAAGTGATATATCGAAATTCGGGCTTACCGGAAGGTATAATCGATAGAAAAACCAAAATTCCGCAAATGTGACGAATTTTTAGGTTCCGATAGTGTATGGGAAATGCTAGGGATGAGAAATGGATAGCGCTGAGGAGCGGGATTAGCATAAGCTGGAGGTACCATCGGGATAGTTGTAGAAAAGCACAAATTCCGACGAGCCATGGGGCTGAAAAATCTAATTTTCAGGGAGCCAGCAAGGCAAATTTACAGATTTTTTTTGTTTCGCCAGGCGGGGCGCGTAATCGATTACGAAATCAAATGAAAAACCGGGAGAGTTTAGGGTCAAAATGACCATTAATAGATTACTAGATAGGCCTATTGTGCATTAATAGGAGTCTGATTGGCCCAAAAAAAACTCACGAAATACCTCCTCCTGGAACCATAGATCAATATAGTCATGTGGAAATCGACTGAATCGATCGAGGATATCGCTAATAATGAATATTCTAAGCAGAAAGAATACGGGAACGCTCCCCTTAGTAGCATGTAGTTTTACTACAATGAAAATATCGAATAATATTATAAATATGGCTATAGAAATATTGACGAGGTGGTAGATGGTTAGATCACCGTGTATAGCTGCCATTTTCGTTCTTTTGACTTTTTAAATATTCAGTAAGTTTTGTAAGGCTTTACAAACGTCGGATACAGTAGTTAAATATTCCAAACGTCGAATAAAATTCTTAGAGCTCTTCAAAGCAGGAATATAGTGGCTAGACAATTTGTAAAAGTTCAAAACGAGATTTTCGAGCTTTCCCAGCCCAAAAATGGTCTCTGACCTTCCAAGCTTGGATGTGAACGTGCGGCCCGAAATTACTCAACCAGCGAATAAGTTTTTTTCGTGTGAAAATCACAGTCTGGCTTCTTTTTCGTAAGCTTTGGCTAGGCTTAGTTTCCAAAAAGTGCTTTAAAACTGAGGGGTTGAGACGTGAATAGTGATGTTGCGGAAAATAAGGCGCAGACGCCGGAAATCGGTAAAGTTTCCTGTACTAACATTTTTGCCATGTTTCAAAGTGTAATCCCGGGAAATTAGACATTTATTAGGTCCTTGAAACACTCCAAAAATCACCGAGAATCACTTGAAACCGTCAAAGCTTTGTGCGAATCGACGACAAATAGCCAATATATTTGGTATATTCTACGATGGTCGAGATCCATTGACACAAGGAGATGATGAAGCCGACTTTGCTTAAAAAGACCATGTTTTTAAATTTGAACATTTTCAACCCAAAAACCTTATTTGAAACTCTTAATTTAACAAGCATTGGGTTAAACAAGTTGACTCATCTTTAAAAAAGCTTCAGCTATAAAAAAAAATTCGAAAAACCTACTTGATCAGCACATAAAATGAAACATTTGCCAGCCCAAATCCGACGCTAAAATATATGAAAGCAAATGCCAATTTGGTTTCCGGGGTGAAGCGCTAAAAACCAGGCAAATAGTGTGTATTAGAATATCTGTTTACCGTCCTCCGGCTCCTGGCCGCTTGCGGGTTAATAATATTGACTTGACTGCCAGCTCGCGTCACCGACATTTCTGAAAAAAACCACACGTTTCAATTTCCACAAAAAAAAATCTAGAACCCCCTATAATCGACCCTTAGTGACCTATGGGTGTAGAGAGCTACGTCACGCGCCCAAAAACGCTTGCAAAACTTTGAGTGTTGCTTTCCGAGGCTGCCTGTCTCCAGATCGCGGATAGTTTTAACACTTGTTTTAAAGGGCACGTTCAGGGACGTATTTTTGGTAAAAAGCAAAGATTTTTGCCGCGTCCGGGGGTCGAACCCGGGCCCCCCCGCTCGGGAGGCGTGGATGGATACCAGTCAGCCACAGCTACAACCTGGCGAGGAGGCGGGGGGCGCCCCACGCCGCAAAGGAGGGAAATTGCCTCCCACGGCACGGGCAGGCTGTGCGCGCGGTCCCTACGTCCATAGGGTGTACACGTTGCGACGAGTACACGGCCCCTCCCTGGACGTGCGCTCTAAAAATTAATTTACCTCCGGATAAATTGGCAGTAATCGTCGGCGCCGACGCGACTGGTACGTTTTGACGATCCAGAGTTTTGGTTTGTCTAGCCACCCGTAGTTTGTAGATTAGATAAAGATCCGCGAGGATCAAAGAAGCGGCCGCAATTCCCTAAAATAATTCAAAATAATATTTTTCGCGTTTAAAAATCGTACCTGCAAAACCCAGGTGCTAATTTGCATGGCCATATACGAATCTTTCGTCTCGTCGAAATCCCAATAAAAATAAGGAATGTGAAAAATAAATCCACAACAGGCAGTGAATTGAACGATTGTATAAACTAAATTTTTGTGCTGAAAACTTAAATTTCAACCCACCTGTCGGTAATATACATAGCACTAATATAACTCCAAGGATATGCACGCTTTTGAGGTTACGGTAGCGAACCGGGAAGGCTAGGGATGAGAAGTGGATGAGGCTGAGTAGCGGGATTAGCATAAGCTGGAGGTACCATCGGAATAGCTGGAATATTGCGCAAATGTCGACGAGCCAGGAGGCTGAAAATTACTTTAGAGGGACGCGGAAGGCACAAACACCGGTTTTTTTTTGGTCTTGGATCGCTGAGATATCATACCGCGATGCTTCTATTACTTATTCTCAGGATCGTCATGCATTACTCAATGTAAAGTGCCTTTCGTTGCATTGCTTTAACTGAGTTGCGCTGCGCTGCGTTACGTTACCTTGCGTTACGCTGCGTTACGTTGCGTTACGTTACGTAGCGCTCCGTTATGCCGCTTTGCTTTGCGTTCTGTTTCGTTGTGTTACAATACTTTGCGTACGTAAGGAATGTCTTATCGCTTCACGTTGCTATTGCCTCTGTTGCGTAGCGCTACGTTGCGTTGAGTTGCTACGTTGCTACGTTGCGTTGCGTTGCGTAGGCTATGTGGCGTTACGGTAGGGTTCGGACCGCAGTAACACATAACGCATAGGCACATTTCTAGCTCTCAAAAATCGTAGTTCTGGTGTACTGGCAGCACTGTCGTGCAACACTAATTTGATAAATTCTATTAAAAATACCCGATACCTTTCAGCCCACTTACGAAACACTTCCTCCTCAAACCATTCGGCCAGGTAGTCGTGCGGTAATCGTCCGAATTGATCAAAAACATCGCTAATAATAAATATTTTCAGCACCACAAAGACCGGGACGCTGCGCTTGTTGGAGCTGATCTTGGCAATAAGATACAGATCAAATACAATTATGCAAATTGCGATCACAATCTCGACGGCATCATAAATTGACAGCTGGCCGTGAAGTTCCATTTCGATACTTTGGACGGTAGATGTGATTTATAGGCTTTTCTAGTCGTCAGATAATGGCATAAAAGGGCCAATTTCCGGTGGCGTCGTTGGCCAATTTTGTGACGAAAAGCGGAACAGGATCGTTGAAATTTCAAGATACTACTGTAGCTACTGAAATCGTCCAGATTTTAGGGAACAACCCGACGAATCGGCATTTTAGAAAAACCGCGGAACAGACTGCACATGCCAAATTAGCCTGTGAACGAGCGGGAGCCCCTCAAATTTTTGGCTCATTTGCCGGCCCGGTGTAGCTTGTACTTGTAGCCCCCGCACCCACGCTAAAGGTGTGATCATTTATCTCAAAAAGAAAGCACGATGGTACACTTAAAAGAGGCAAAAAAAACTGCGGGTTGAGATCACATGGGAAAATCACTTGGCACCGGCGAGCGAACTTTGGGGGATGACGTGCCGAAGAGGGATTTGGAAATGGAGCTTAAAAATTAAAAAACTATTCAAAACGAAGCATATTATCGAGGTATGTAACGCACATTGTGCATTAATAGAGCATTATTTCACGGAGTAAAAAGGTACGTAAAATTGCTAGAAAATTGTCAGATACTTATAGGTAGCGCGCGAACGCTTGCCCATTAAAGGGATACCCAACATTTGCGAGGCTCAAAAAGCAAAAACCATGACGCGGGCGGGGGTCGAACCCGGGACCCTCGTTTTGAAGACCTGGGTGCTATCCATTAGGCCATAGTGGCAAGCCATTGGTTGAGATGAGGACGCCACAAGAGGGAAAAGCGTCCGAATTCTGTGCGGCACTGGGTGTCCCTTACCGCACAAAATTCATGCGTCATTTGTACTCTCCGGAATACATAACTATATATTTGCCGCTAAAACATTGGGTATCCCTTTAATGGGAAAAAAGCTCGGCGCATTGAAAACCAGACGTAGAAAATCTTAGAAATTCGTTTGTGGGAAATTCGTAGGTTTAAGCTCCTCTTAATGCACTATCGATTCGAGGAGCACTTCGTCAATTTTCGAAAAGCGCAATTTCGAACGCCTAGTACAAATTGACAGTCGAATGGATGGGAGTTGATTTTGTCAAAGGCTGCATAGAGGCCGAAGAATATCGCTTCGCAAAAACGGCCATCTGCGAGGACCATTTTGCAGTCATGAAACTCCACACGGCCGTCATCCACAGGTTCTCGCCCATCAGTTCTTAAAAGACAGGTTGGTCCAAATCCAAAAAAAGGTCTTTTTTTGCGAGTTTACGCGATTCTATCAAAACTGGTTTATTCCATGTTATGACTCATTTATTGCACGTTTAAAGTCTAAGGTATCTCGCATTTTGATCCGGCGCGTATTAGAGCGGAAACAGGATTTGGGAAGTATCCCACGAGCCATAATCAGCCAAAAATTGCCAACTTGTCTACAACTTCCTTAGGGTATGAGAAAGATACCCGGAACCTGTGGTAGGATTTTGGAAGTTTTTGCAAAAAAGGAAGCTTTTGCACTGTTAGATCGTCATTTAAACCGGCCAAGCAAGGCGCTGCTGTCGAGTTTTGGCTACGGACCCTCTGTGTATTGTCAAGGCCGCGGCACGCATACGCGTACGCGACGCGCTCCGGTCTCGTTAAAAAAAAACTAGTGCCATCAATTAGTGCAAGCGAAACCGAGCAAAAAGCACTTAATTTTTGTCATTTTTGAAAAAAAATACTTTTGGCATTTCAAGCAACTTTAACCCTGGAAAACCGACCATCATGGGTGAGGCCCTGCTTCTTAATCCCAGCCGCTACCAAGCAACCGATCATTCCGATGAAGGATGCGATAAAGGTGAGGAGTCCTGAAAAATACGCATAAGCAAAATCAAGTTTTCCAAATATTAAAAAAATATTCTTGTTTTTATTGCTAAAGCTTTAAAACAACAAAGTATTCAATAATAACGTACCAATCCAAAAGCTGGCCGTAAATTTCGCCGAGCTCCAGTGGAGCATCCAATTCTTTTTGTACGCAATGTGCATGTAGCTGACGTAGGTGGCAAAACCCGCCGAGATGAAGGCCATAATGCATGTGGAGACATTCTAAAGGCACCTAATTTTAGGCTACCGTACCCTAGACTTACGTGGTATTGTCCGCCAAACATTGCCCCGGCCATTACCCCAGCGGTGATACCGATAATGGAGATCGTCAGGAGGACGTTAACGGAGCACATTTTCTGAAAACGCTTGGGTTATACGTCCTAGGCACGGGAACTGAAATTAACAAAGTATACAAGCATGGTATCAAAGTATCAGAAACGGCTTATTAGCATTTCCCTAAGAACCGCATTTTGCATGATTTTTAGGGTTGGCGGTTTCGAGTTTAGTCTCGAAATCTTTAAGTCCAGCAAAATACGATAAAAATACATCGAGAAAAACGATTTTAATAGCTGCAGAAGCCCGCGTTAATGAAAAAGTAAAGTGTCGAATTACCAGATTAAAATATAATCATTAAGCTGAATAAAATCTCTTGTAGTTCTGTCTAGAAAATTCTATCTTAATCTCTTATGAATTAATTTCAATAAAACAGGTACGTTATCGAGCTACTGCGCGACGGTAAGTTACAGTAATCCCACGAAGCGATAAAAACTAGTTTAAAACTCGAGTTTCAAAAAGCGATAAATCTTCCGGATGTGATGGGGTGAAAGCGACATCCGCTCCAGAAGCGCTCGTCGTGTTCCCTGGCCATTTATGACAATTGGCATGGCATTGGACCCATTTTCTATTCACCGGGGCTCTTATCGCCATCGCTGCGCTCAGTTTGCATCATATGGGCGTCTATGACCGCCGTGCGCCGGGAATCAAGGAAAGGAGAACAAGGACGAATAATTATTTGTATTGCAGGGTGGGTGCTTTTTGTGGAAGTACTATAGAACTACGCGTTTTTGTATTCATTACGGTATCCCGTAGCCAAGAGCAATATTTACCAATTCGTGGAAGCGTATTAGTATCACTTCGAATCTCGATAAAAGCTGTTTCAGTATGTCCGAATCGCAAGAAAATCACTGAATCAACATGAATGGCAAATCTGAATCTGCGGGTCCGACATCAAACCAGCAGCGTTTTATGATTTGTTTCGACAATCTTCTCTCGAGCTGTCCATTTTTTGTATAATACACAGAGTGCCCCAATTCTTTTTTTTATAAACTTTTGTAAAATAGCGGATTGCAATAAAAGCATGGTCTTAAGTTTGTTGCAAATTCGCCATTTCACGGGGGGGGGGGTGGTTTTTTATTGAGACACCCTGTATTGCGTTTCTGATACAGAATTTAATAGTTCAAATGAGGGATTATTTATTCGAATTATTTTATCCGCGTATGTCAGATTTCCGGGTACACATCGCCTGGTTAAATTCCTTTTATTATGCCACCCAAAATTCCATGCCACAACACGGACAGGGCACCTTGCCCTGAAATACGTCGTTGTACAGCTTGCGATACACGACCATGACCATCGATGACGTCACCAGAATGCCGAGGCCGAAACCCAAGTTGGACGCCGTGAAGTCGCCCATGATTGCCTCAAACATCATCGAAACGCCTTCGTTAAGGAAAAAGATCTGAAGTCAAAAAGTCTGATTTTTTTTGGCAAAAGTAAATTAATTGGAATGTGCTGTTTTAATAACTTACAAGATAGATTGGCAACGCCCCGGATTGTAATCGAATTCTCTTCCCAAATCCGGTAACCGTGAGAAATATGCTAACGAGATACATACCAAAATAAGCCACTCTCTCTCTAAATTTTATGGCAGGTTAAAATATCTTTTGGAACTCACGCGATAGTGGCAATTAATAAAAGATGTGAATACTTTGCACTATATTTTCTAAACATAATAAGTAGAAGATTCAAATAAAGAAATGCCTTACTTTTCATACTCATGATTGGTGTTGATAGCTGAGCAAATGTTATACGCCAAAAACACGCAGGCGTGTATAGAAGTGAAAATAATGGCAAGCGTCTAAAGGTATCGAGCGCTAAAAGCAAAAAAATCGATAATTTACCCATAACCTCCTCCTCCGCGTCCCAAATAAACGGCGTAATTCGGTGCCATCGAAGAGCATGACGGGAGCGCCGAAAGCTGGGTGTTATCAGAAAAGAAAGGCGCTCAATTTAAATCCTATTAACCCGGCCGGCTGACGACCGAATGAGTCGTGCAGCAGCGGTCGTGATTTTTAACGGTTTGTAAACCTGCAAGATAGTGACGTTGTTTGTTTTGTTGTGGAAAACAGCTTTCCTGTCTTTTTTTTAGCGTTGAATTACGCAATTTTGTCTAAAAATCGCTAATTTTGGTTAGATCTTAATGAAAAAGAGCACTATAAACAGTAAGATTTTATAGGGCGAAAATTTTAGAAATTGGCATAATTTACGAGACAATTAAATATACAGGTTGTCCCAAAAAAGCCCCCTACCTAGCGCTCCGCAGTCGATTCCGATTTTCACGATTTAGGTAACTATCGAAAGCTCTCGAAAAGGCGAGAAAACAAGGACGGTTCATTTTCTCTATTATGCCTTTTTATTCGCTAATTTTACGTCCAAAACGACGAAAACTGCTGATTTATGCAGGGGTTGCATGCATGCTAATTGCGAAATTCCTGTTGAAAAATTACCGGTTTTTAGAAAAACCTTAAATATCGATGGAACCAGATTTAACTTTAGAAAACGAAACCCGCTTGTTTTCACGTCTTTTCGAGAGCTTTAGATAGGTAGCTAAATCATCAAAATCTGACTTGACTGCGGACCGCTAGGTAGGGGGAGGGGTTTTTTTTTGGGAAACCCTGTATTTAGAGGTTGTCATGATGTACATATATATACGCTTAATATGTATGAACTAGCTACTGGGGTTGAATAACCGCTTCGCGGCAACAAACATTAATTCTGATATTGATTATTCATTTTGCATAATGGCGAGCCACTTTATTAGGTATCTTTCAGGCATATGTCCTCAATTTCAGTCGCTTTATTCATTCAATCCAAATATCAATCCCACAGCACGGACACGGCATTTTCCCGGTGAATATATCGATATACAGAAGTCGGTAGGCGTAAAGTACCATCGCGGAGGTGACCATCAGACCGAACCCAAAACCCATATTTAAAGCTGGAAAATATCCCATTATCCCTTGGAATATCATCGTCACACATTCGTTGAGGAAGAAGATCTAAATGCCATTTTCTAAATTTTTCTTTTTTCGAATAACTTGATAAATCACGTTGAAAATTAGACAAAAAAAACCAAAAAGCGGCCAAACTTACGATGTAAATCGGTAATGCGCTCGATTTGAGCCGAATCCGCTTTCGAAAACCGACAAAAGTTAGAAATATACTCACAAGATACATTCCAAAATACGCCACTCGCTCACTGAATTTTTTTTATCTATAATTGTAGCCTTTGTAAGCTTACAATATACTCGCAATTAACAGTATTGAGGTGTAGTTTGTAGCATACTCTCTAAAAACATCAAAATGAAACATTGAATCCTGGTTTTGTAAAGCACAAAATTACTGATGACTCACTTTTTATAATCTGAATTTGACGTCACGTCGGAATAAATGTTATACGTTAGTAACGTACAAGCGTGAATAAACATAGAAACAGTAGCCCATGCCTAGAATTGTGGCTTAAAAATTCTAAATAAATATTTTACCCATAAATTTCGTCTCCTTGAGCCGAATAAGTGGCGTAATCGATTAGGGAATGGCATCCGGGACCCGGTGGAACAGACGTTATCGCAAAGCTTCGCGCTTTTTAAATCCTATTAAGCCGTTTCGACGGGGTGTTGAATGCCGAAGTTAGTATTCTAGCGGAAATTACGAAACTATACCTTAAAAATTAATTTTTGGCTTGTATTTAGCCTCCAAAAATCAATAAAACGATTTATTCTTGTATCTATAGAAAGGCCACGCAAGAATCAGCATAAGTAGCACAAAAACACACATATTTTTAAAGCTCAAATCAAAATGCAAAAATTCATATAACGATTAATGTATACAGTTTCAAAAATTCTCATCTCCTCGTCGCCCCGCATTTCCGATAGTCGAACGGGCCGCTCCAAAAAATGTTTTGGTAGTGCATGCACTTTTCGGCCGATTTTTCAAAGTGGTCGTTGAGTCGAAGGATGTAATGCGCACTAAAAAAGCATCATCATTGGTTAAAAAAATGAAATTACGCCGCATCACTATCGACAGCCACGTCTGCGATGTCACCAATTAAAAAATAGGTTTCGCCTTTTTGTAAATCGGTGGATTTGAGGCAGCCAATGTTGCAATCACGAAGCCAGACGTTGATTACGTTATCTAAATGGGGGATTTTTAGCTATTTCACTCTCTCGCCCTCTCCCTCTCTCTCTCTCTCGGTCTCCCTCCCTCTCTCTTTCTCTCTCCCTCACTTTCTCTCTCACTCCCCCCTCTCTCAACCTCTCTCTATTTCTCCCTGTCTCTCTCACTCTCTCTCTCTCTCTCTCTCACCTTCTCTCTATTCTTACCTTTCAATTGTAGCTGCCGCTCATCCCGCACCAATTTCTTCAATACCTTCATTTTATAAACAGTGTACGCAACGTGCTGAGATCCAGAAGCCACCGTTTCGTGTCGCTTCTCGATAAGCTCCCCAAATAGTCCTGAAATATTAATGTACCCTGGCACTCCGCAACTACTGTTAAAGCGTAGGCTTAAAAATGACATACCAAAAGCACCCTGCTTGCACAGCTCCTTTTTGACGGTCAACTGCGTCGAGCGACCGCAAGAATTACAGTTTACAACGCAGGTACTCTCTGTGCATAGGCATTGGTCGCCGCTAGAAATGCTTCTTGAAGTCTATAGGCCTCTACTTACGTGAAACAAACAGACTCTATCGTCTCGTCAATGGCTGATCGTATGGTTCGTCGTTTAGAGGCCTGAAAACAACATCAAAAGCTCTTACAGGGTGCCCCAAAAAACGAGCCATCTGGCATTTTGCCGTGTTACATTCAATCAACCCCAAACTTGGACCGGAGGTTTATTAGCACCTAAATAACAACATTCCTGGGTTATAGCCCTGTAGCTAACGCAGTTCTCGAGTTATAGCAAAAATAGACTTTATTTTCCATTTTCATAGGGTTTCCTTGGAATTTTACCCTCTAAACATTAAGTGAAATTCATTTGGTAGGCCTTCTTTACCTTAAGAAATTTTTCCGGATTAAGATTAATCAAATCAGTTCCGATTTAAGCGATTTTACAACGCAAAATTACCCCAGATCTTAAGCGAAATTCGGGATTCGCAGCCGGAAATCTATGCCAATCAATGCAGAGTCCAAAAAGATGGTCGAAAAAGCTGCTTAGAATTGCGGGAAAAAACAGTATTTTCGTTGTAACTCTAGAACAACTGTAGCTAGGGGACTAAAAGTCAGGATTGGTGTTATTTAGGGTCTGATACACCTTTGTTCCTAATTTGGGGCCCATTGGATGTAACACGGATGTGTTTAAATCAGATGGGTCGTTTTTTTGGGACACCCTGTATTTAATAAATATTAAGTTCAATGCAGACGTTTTAACTCGAAAGAAAAAAAGAAAGCCGTCAACATTACCTTGTGATGCAAATGCACAGCCAACGCTGAGCTTCTCTTTTTTCGCTGGAAATTGCGGGCATCTGGATGTGAGATGAGGGTTTGGCCGACGATGTCTAAATGGCAAAAGTTTTAGCGCTCTTTCAAAGTGTTGCTCACCATTCACCGGATGTCGGCAACTGATCTCAACCGGGGCCAGCGAGTCGGGCTCATGCGCGTAGCTTGGCGGAAATTGCGCGACCTGAAAAGGGAGACTCTCAATCAAGCCTCGATATCACCCGAAAGATTACGGAAAGCAACGATACTCTGGGTTCCCCGACGCTACGCTATGCAGCTCCATACGATGTGACACGTTACGGTATGAGGCAGTACGACGCCGTACGAAATGTTGCAATACGCTACGATGTATTACGTTCAGAAACGATACGATGCGCTACGATAAACCATTTACCGAGTAGCAAGCTGGAACGTGGGTTTGATTCAGAAAAACGACCATATGCACCGCGTAGGAAGAGATGGTTGGCGGGTTCAAGATTTGAAGCTCGTGCTCCTAGTCAAAGCCATGAGAAAAACGCCCGCTCTTACCGGATTGATCTGAATTTTGTCCGTGTAGGTCGAGAAGCCTGTGAAAAGGCCATGAACAACTTCAAAGGTTCTGATGAGCGGGGAGAAGGTGCTGAAAACTTTTATCGTTGCTGTCTGCGCATTAATGAAATTCTTATTGGCTAGATGGCGTCGTAAAGGGCAAAAATTTAGCAAGAAAACCCTCAAAAAATTACCTTATGCAAACAGTTTGCAACAAGATATCCCTGGATTGCTTCTGTTGTTCCACCGTAATTTTTAGAGGGTATAACGAATCAGTTAACTGACGACGATTTCGTTGGCGCTAGAAGGTATCGAATTTTTTTATTCAAAAGAGGCATGATTACCTTGTCAGCAAGTATTCTTATTCCTGTCTTCACCTTTCCAAAGCCCCTGGTGGTGATGGTGAAGTTTCGGATCTTGTTTGGCAGCTAAAAAGAGCATGGTTTTGTAAATCTTTATAAAATTTAACTTACGTAAACAAGTAGCGGGACGTCGGTCACGTTATAGACTTTACGGCCGATATCCCGGGAGTAGACCTCGAGGACCGGGTTTTCATTTAGCTGCGGGATGGCCACTTTTCGAAGGCGGTACTCGTAGAGGGCACGGGAGGCGAAGTAGGTGTCCTAAAAGTAGAAAAATTTATCAAGAACTGCGAAAGTCAAAAATTGGCACTCAAAAGCCGAATATCTTTCGAACCTTTACAAACTTTTTACTTCTAAGCTTTCCAGGTGAGCTAGCAGGGACCATTTTGAAAACCTTTTCAAAGAGAAGCGAGCAGAGCTCATTTGGAAAAAACGTTTAGAATTTGTTGGTATTGTTTTGGGTGGGGCAGGCTGGCAGAGATCATTTCGGAAGCTTCGACAAAACGCGAGCCAGCCGACCAATTTTTAAGCCTTATTTTGGGCATTCTAGCAGAGTTTCTTAGACCTCCCAGGCCACAGGCAAGCTAGCAGAGACTTCTTACTAAGCCAGTAGCCACGATTGCGTCATGTTCACAACCCCTCCTTACCAAAGCGTTCTCATAGGTCTCATCGTCCTTCTTCTGCTCGTAAATCCAATCGGCGAGTGCGTCGAATTCAAGAATCGAAGGCACCACAACGCCCCTTCCAACGAACGCCAAGATTCCTAGCGCGTTTGCCAGGACGTCACCACTCTACAAAATTCAGAATCATGTCAAACTCTCCCCAAATCTGGATACCTTAACCCCCTTCAGGTTAAAGAATTCTTGATGGCCATTTTGAAGTCGATCCGGGGTGTTGACATTTCTTTCACCCGCCGTCCAATATGGGAAAACGCCCTCTGAATTGTTTTGTTGGACGCTGGAAATTAATTTTTACCTCGAATCGACGCGTTAAGGGTCTGGCGCAAGACGTTGTTTGTAGCATTCGTTGCTAGATAAGCTAGGGCGGCTTTGGTTCTGGTATCGGTAAGATCTCCCTCTTCAAAATCGTAGAAATATTCGTACAATCGACTCCAAGCTGTATCATTTTTCTAAAAAAAAACAAGATTTATTGGCTTAAAATTAAAAAAAATCGCGTAAAGCATTTTGGACTCACTACGCAAGTGTACGCAGCGCAATCGGAAGACATATGTAGTAAAAGACCACGGAGGAACCAGGAACGATCTCGGGGATTCTCAAAAAATAGCTTTACGGGGCTACAGTAACACATACAATATCGGCCATCCCATTGAAGTTGATGAAATTGTTGCTCTCATTTTCGGCAAAATCTCCTAGCATCACCGAGTGGAGGTATCGTAACCCGCCACAGACCAAATTCTCGTCGGCCATCGCTTCGCAGAGGAGTGAGGTGGAAATTGCTGTTAATCTGAAGAAAAGGCTTGGAAACGGGTTTTGATGGCTACAGATTCCGTGTCAGTTTTGCAGCATCACCGCAACGCGCGCAACTTTAAAACGCGTGTGCGTTGCGTGTCGCGGTCGAACGACAATCCCAAGATTTTGAGCCGCTTTTGAGCTATTGAAGCTTGAGAGCTATACGTTTTTGCCTGGTAGTTTTACGGCGCCTCTAATGCGTAAGTACGCAAAAATTACTGCTTACACCGGCGATCGATCCACTGGAGACACCGGACGTCCATATTCTGAATACCCACAACTCTCCTGTCCATTACAGTCCGAAAATCGCAGCATGTCGGCTATTACTAAAAGGTATGATCATTTGAATACCTGCAAACGGTGAAAAAACTAGAATCATTCAATTACTTACAAGCCCCGATGCTATTCTCCAGCGACGACGTCACCGCATCATCTTGACGATACACCGTTTTCAGCAGCTTGAATTTGTAAAGCTCCACCGATAACCTTTTGACGGCATCGCTCAGAAATGCGTTACCGTAGTCGACAATTCCTGAAAAAAGTGAGATAACGTGTTTCTCTCTTTTTCTCTGGCTCTCTCTTTCTCTCACTCTCTCGCTCTCGCTCCCACCTCTTTTTCTCCTGGCACTCTCAATCGTCGGTAGTTCATTGCTGTACTCGATTTGGGTTATGGTAGTCGGGAGGAATCCTAAAGGACACTTCTCAGTCTAAGGCCTGGTTACCGTACTCGAAATTTCGATGGCCACGCTGTGGACGGCTGTGGTGTCGGGAAGGTGGCATTTTACATCTGCTACCATGGCATTTTCATGTGGGAGTCGGTATTCGTTGATTTCTGAAAATTAGCTTTCACTACTTTCTCCCTCTCTATCTCTCTTTTTCTCTCTATCTCTCTCTCTCTCTCGCTCTTACCAAAAACATGTCGTATCGGCTCCGTCCTCAACTCGTTCAGGGCGTCATTAAGAGCAGCACTAACTGGCTTCTCGACGGAGAGAATCAGCCTCCGGTAGTGCTCCTCGGTCTCTGCCCTTTTCTATAGTGACATTTGTCCGTTTTTAGGGATTTCCCTTACCGCCACCATCATCTTGTGCTCAATAATGTCCAACACCTCTCCATTATCGCATCGGCTAACTTCTCCTGGCATGAACAGCTCGGTTCTGAGCATAAAGGTCAGCTTCACTTCGCCGGTCTTGAAGAAACGCATACTGGAAAAGAGTGCTATCACCAACGAGAGAAAAAGAGAGAGAGGGAGAGAGGGAGAGAGAACGAGAGAGAACGAGAGTGAGAGCGAAAGAGTGAGAGAGAGAAAGTCTGAGAGAGAGAGAGAGAAGAGAGAGAAAGAGCCAGAGAGAGCGAGAGAGAGCGAGAAAGAGAGCGAGAGTGAGAGAGTGAGAGAGCAAGTGTGTAGGAGAAAGAGCTTTTTGCTTTATAGTTGTTCAGGTATTGGACTAAATTATTACTTGAACGTCTTGATGGCGACCGGATTCTCTTTGTTCAAAATAATCCTTGAATACGCCGGCTGCCCATGCGTCCCTTCTTGCCCCATATCCGCGCAAACCTGGCGCGGCAGATCGCTGTGGCAAACGGAGAGCTAAAAAATCAGTTAAACAAATAAATTACCACGATTACTACATACCCCTACTACAGGGTGTCCCAAAAAAAACCCTTACCTAGCCGTCCGCAGTCGATTCCGATTTTTATGATTTAGCTACCTATCGAAAGCTCTTGAAAAGGCGAGAAAACAAGCGCGTCTAGTTTTCGAAGTTTTTCAACAGGAATTTCGCAATTAGCATGCAACCCTTGCATAAATCAGCAGTTTTCGTTGTTTTGGACGTAAAATTAGCGAATAAAAAAGCAAAATAGGGAAAATGAACCTTCGTTGTTTTCTCGCCTTTTCGAGAGCTTTCGATAGATACCTAAATCGTAAAAATCGGAATCGACTGCGGACCGCTAGGTACTGGGGGTTTTTTTTGGGACACCCTGTACATCCCAACGTGGCAGAACATTTTGGTAAACGTAAGCCCGTCTACCTTATGCTCCTGGTCCAAATTCGTGCCCGTGGCCGTCACCTTGACCGTAATCGACTCGTTAACGTACACGTTTTTCGGCATGTCGACCTAAAAGAAATATAGACGATCTCGATTCAGGGATATATGTACCTCCAAGAAAAACGCTTTCGTGGAAGTGACAAATTTTGTGGTCGCCGCACAAAACGAGAATTCCTCGGGCCACCAATATTCCGATTGGATCACCCAACGACCGACCGAATGAGGTGCGTCTCGGGTCACGGCCGTCATACCAGTGTTTCTGAACTCGCTGATTGTATTTTAGAGGATAAAAAAGGGAAAATTCTTCATTTAACGAAATTATTGATTTAATGATTCCTTATTTTTAGGAATTGTCCTTATTTTTTGTTTTATTTGGCTAACAAAATTGTTTAGGGCGGCGGGCGAATCAGCGATGGAAAGGCAGGCAAGCAGGGATCCTTAAAGGGGCTTGGAAGTCAAAATTTGCGCGTTCGGGAATTGAACCTACTGATCAAAAAACGAAAGTATTGCCGCCGAGCAGTGCCAGAAAATTGATTTTGTCGCGAAAAAACGCAAAACTTTGAGAAAAACCGAAATGTTTTCGGGTCGAAAACGACTTTTTGGGTGCGCGGCGATTACATGTCGTAATGCCTTGTAAGGCACCCAATCTCTCGATTTCGGTGATTCTCTGATCAATTTACATAATTAAACCAGCTAGAATCATCAAAATTGCGTGAGGATTCTAGTAAAACGTCAGAATTTTGAAATTCCTGCGTTTTCCCTTCCAAACAAGGACTAAAGAACATGCGATGCGGTCGCGTCGCGGCCGAATCTGGTTATTTGCCAGGAATCAGCGCAGGGGGCCGTGGACCAGATTTCGGAGCCCCTTCAGGGAAAAAATAGCGGCCGCGGTTTTCCTTATGTAGCGCACTGGTTGGGCACGTTGCGTGGCACGCTCTTATCCAGAAAAAAGGGTCTATAATTACCCCTGGTCATTCCCTTCAATTTATGAATGATCCTTACCCCAAATAAAACGAGTCGAAGATCCAAACATGCGGGAAGTACGATCGGGTAAATGCCACCTCATCAGAGGGCAAAATCGGTGGGACGTGCTCGAAATCGTCCATGTACGGCAGTGGGCGAGTTTTCAGAACTGCTGTCGTTCTAAAAATTAAACTTTGATGCCGTTTTTGTCAGGAATTTTTGGAAAGCCAGGCAATAAAACTCTAAACGATAGAAAAGCACGCCAAAATCCATTCCACTTACTTTATTTTTCCCGGTTTTCTGGAAAGGGATTTGTATTTTTGCTCATTTCTAAAACGATCGATGCAAAAAATGGCGACGCCTCCAATAATTTACAGCTTTTTTGATAATAGAGCTTAATTTTAGGGAAAAAATCCCGCCGGTAAAATTAGATAAAGAATTTTTAATATTCTGAATAGTGTCCGCAAAAGTGTTTTTACATTAATTCAATTCCACTTCACACCAATCCACACAATAACCCTACCTGGCGTCTGGAACCTTGATGTTTCTATAAAATCCAATTATTATCGCAAACTGACATGGGAAAAGCGAAGCCGGCGGGGAAATCTTGAGAAGTTTCGACTTTCTCGGCTTTTCTAAAGTTTTCCGGTTTCGACTCGGACCTGCAGTTGGCGTTCCGGTCGCAGACGCGTTCTGGAAAATGGAAGTTAGGCTACAGACGACAACCTACAGGCTACAGGCTAGGCCACAAGATTCAGACTCCAGACTACAGGTTACAGGCCGTAAGCTACAACACTCAGGCTACAGACTACAAGCTACACGTGGCTCACTAGAGACGACAAGCTACACAGTTACAGGAAAAAACATCAATCTACATGCCGTCAACTATAGACTACAAGCTACATACTACACACTACAAACTGCCAGCCACAAATTACAAGCTTTGGCTGTAAGCCATAGAGTATAGGCTACAAACTTTCAGTTACAACCCGGCAAGCCACGTGCTGTAAGCGACAGACTACATACTACATATGCTTCAGGATGTGAGCTAGACGACAAGTTACAAGGCACAAGGTAGGAACTACTAGCTACATACTACAATGTGGTGGATACTCATGCGACATGTTAAACGCTATAAACTACAAACTACCAGCCACAACTCACGTAGAGTGATGTTCGAACGACAATTCGTCGTGATTTGCTGCATACAAAGATCCGACACAGCCGAGGTAGAAGCTTTCCCCTGTGGACACTGACCGCCAAGGTCCGAGTTTTTGAAGTATGGCCCGGCGGTGGCGCAGTTGTGAACTAAAAGATTGTACGTTCGTTTTTCGAAAATTTACTTACTGATCGCCTCCTTGATAGCCTTGTTCTTGATGAGGTTGAAGATGCGGAGCTGCTCCTCGACCTGGTAGTTGCGGGCGAAAAAGAGGCCCTCCCAGAGTTTGGGCAGGGGCTTTTGTTCTTCCTAAAGGTATATATTTTGATGTCGAAATTTTTCTATGGTTTTGATTCGATTCTGTCCGTATTTTAGAAACGAAAATGGATCCAACCTAGAAGCCTAGAAAACTCGCAAAGATCCGCGCGGCTTGTGCACATAAATTTCATGGCACGGCTGGGAAAGACAAACCTCAAAAAAAATTGACTGTACCTCAGACGTTCAGAAATATTTTGAGGTTTTAAAAATCTTGCAGTTTTTTAGGATGTCTGTCGATCTTTTACCTCCATAATCTTTGCAATCTTCTCGTCCAAGGTTCTGACAATCGCATAACCTCTCGGTTTTCCATTCAACGTCATCGTGATCGATTGCCCGGGCTTGATCTCGGATTTTGAGGGGGTAGTGTAGATCCCCTAGAATATCTTGGTTTTAAACGTACTATTGAATAATAATAGAATCGAGACAAAATTCGATTCTTTAGGATTTCCGGGGGGGGGGGGACCAATTTTTTCCTGTCGGTCCCACTTCACCTAGTAATCAAATATCAGTGTTTTCACAATGTTTGTAGTAAATTTAACTATATTTAAATCGAAAAAAACATCAATAAAAGTTAGAAAAATGTGTGAAAAAGTCGAAAATTTGGTCATTTTGGGTCTTCCCCCCCCCCGTGAATCTTAAAGGTTCTATAGAATTTTTCGACCTAAAGTTAAATTTTTTAAATAGAATGTGTGTAGGTTCTATGCTCAAAAATAGCTAAAAATAATTGAAAAACGCATCCGCTATTTATAAATAAATAGGCTTGAGCCATAAAAATTTGGTCCCCCCCCCCCCCGAAATCCCAAAGAAGCCAAAATTCTACGAAACGCCTTGTTTTTCGCTCGAAAATTAACCCACCGAGCACTGATCGTTGACGAAGAACATCAACATATCAACTTGTCGTGTCCTAACGCTGTACAGGTAGAGGACACATTGCCCAAGCATCCGGCGTGATACGATGAAGGTGATGAACGTCAACGGATCCACTTTTGCCGATCGGCTCAGCTCATTTCCGTTGCAGACGACCTGCAATCGATTTGGGGATGATCAATCATTTTTATTAGCTGTTTCCCCTTGCGATTCGACCCCGGCGCTCGTTTCGGTGGTCTTGGACTTTTCGACAAGGTCTCCGCCCTTCCAATCCCAATAATTTTGGATTTTGTCGAAATTTAGCTTTTTTTTTTACTAAGTCTATTGTATCAGAAGAGGATATTGAGAAAAAAGAAGAGAGAGAGAGAGCAAGAGAGAGAGAGAGAGAGAGCGAAAGAGTGCGAGAGATAGAGGCAGAGAGGGAGAGAGTGAGATCGACAGACAGCGAGAGGGCAGTAGACACTCTCAGAGAGAGGGAGGGGGCGAGAGAGCCAGAGAGAGAGAGAGAGAGCGTGAGAGAGAGAGCGCGCGAAAGAGAGTTAGAGAGATCGGCATCGACCTAGCGATACTAGCGCCGATTTTTGACCACTCACAAAAATATATAACCCAAGTTATCCCATTTCCCCAAATTGTTATGGGCATTTAGAACTCGTTCCGGCGGGGGTCATTTTGCAGGGGGGCAAAAGCACCCCCGACCTGTGCCATATGGCGTGCCGAAAAACGACTCTAAACGGCAAGGGCTCTCGGGGGGATAGACCAACAAGCTGAAAAATGGCTGCATTTTAGGAATTTGTGTTCAGATAGGTTGTCTTAAAGGGACGGGCAAGGCAGGACTTTGGATTTCGATGGCTACATATTTACTATTGATTTTTCGGTGCTTCCAGGTTAACGGGGGGCGGTTATTTTAGCGGGGGGCGGTTGCCAACTTTTCTTTGTTTGGCTTATAGCTGCCTACTGATAAATTGTAGTTTGTTTTAGTAATGTTTTTTGTAGCTTGCGATAACCAAAAATTATAAAAACCTTTATCCTGCAGTCCCAAAATCTAGGGTTTTTGCTCGTTTTCAAACATTTTCATACAGGTTCGACCAAAAAAGCAAAGATTTTCAAAATATTTTATAATGTTAATGTTTTAAAATTCTCCTCCCCGTAGTAAAAACTAGTTGAAACGGTTATTAAAACTATTCTATTAAAACGGTCAATTAAATGTCTATTAAAACGGTAAACATTTGAATACTCGACCCGCACAAGGTTATAAAAAAAGTTCCCAACCCCACTAAAATAACCCCCCCCCCCCGATAACCTGGAGGTACCGATTTTTCCGCGGCGGCCACACGCGCTCAAAATTGCATTGCGTAATCGATTACGACACTTTACTTTGGTGCAGAAAACTGTAGTTCAGTATATTCATAGGCTGAAATACATAGCCATAAATTCCATAGTTAGCCTTTTAATGGCTTTTTAATAAATTTTAGAGCGGTAGCCTCTAAAATGAACTAAAGTCTTGACGTCATGGATTAACCGTAATTCATGGCTTTCTGCTCAATAATTTGCAGGTATCAAACCCCCGTTGGGACAGCACTTTTTACGCTTTCTCTCTCTCTCTCTCTCTCTCTCTCTCGCATTTTCCCACCTATTAGGCTCGCCTTACTGTGCAAACAGAAAGTGTATTTGCCAAAACGCTTCGAGGCATGTGACGGCTTGTCAAACGGGCGGATAGTGCCCAAAAACCGTCGGGAACTTTGTTATGCGGTTTGAACAATTTAAGGTATCCCTGAAGCCCTCTTTTTATGGCTGATATGCCTTTCCCTTCAAATAGAGAATTGCAAAACGAAACAAGTCGATTTTTTTTACGTTAAAATACAACTTACACCATGGATTTCACGAATTTTCCTCCAGCTGATTTCCGATTCAAATGACTTCCAGGCCCTTTAAAAACAGCACCTGGCACAAGATACCGTATAAAATCCGCTAAGCCCCTTGTTTATGCGCATCAATCCCACTTACACCCCTCGTGTAATCACTTCCAGGTCCATTTTTCTGTATGTAAGTCGAAAATGCTAAGCCTGCGAAAATTGGGCGGGGACCGCCTGATTTGGGTGCTTTTTTTATTAATCCGATGCGCCGGTGTTGGCGCAATATAATCCATTCACACCCCCAAATATAAGGCTGCGAATTTATTGTTATCGCCATTCTGGGGAATATTCGGGATTTGAATATCAATTTTTGCTTGGAAATGTGAGAAAATAATAAGATCTACTAGCAAAATATATTTTTTGGATTTTCACCCCCATTAAAGCACTGATTAATGCGTCGACAGGCCAGAAATTGATACCAGATGTGTAGAGGGTAGCTTGCGGCAGCTTGGGCAGTTCCTGATCTCATTTTTTACGCTTTTTCCCTATCATTTTTTTGCATAATTGTCAAAAATCTTGAAATACAGCTTAAGCAACGTAAAATACTTACCACATAATTATACGAATCATCGTCCAAATCGACATTCGTCTTGATCGTCACCGTCTGACCAACGGAATACACCGCCGAATAATTTGCCGGTGACAGGAGCGTAAAGTTCAGCCCAGAGCTGCCCGCTGTCGCATCCACGTTAGGTATCATCAACACTCTTTCACGGGATTTTACGCCGTTGTTGAGGATACGATACCACTAGAAAAAGCCTTAACTTAAGAGTTGTAGAAATTACCTTTAACCGCACGACGTTGCATTGCTGTGTCCAGTTGCTGGGAAGGTTGATGCTAATCGTGTCGCCGACCCTGGAAACGATATTACATAGCATTTAACTTAATTTTTTGAGACCCAAAATGATACTTGCCTAACGGCTTCTGCCAGGGTTTGCCGCCTCAAATTCCGTTCCCCTCCTATACACCGTAGCTCGAGCTCCCCGTCGGAGGCTGAGTGATTTGGGTCCTGAAACGCACATTTTAGATGAAGCCTTAGCTTGGGCGTTTCTAATTGTTTAAATTGCTTAGAGTTCACGATTTTGGTTTAGTATAATTTTCTGCATAGCTTAAGCCAGTCGTAACCTCCGAATAATTCATCCGCTGTAAGCCATACTATATTTCCTATTTTGATGTTCGTTTCAGTGGCTCCGTAAAGACACGATACCAGCGCCCGTCACGCAAAAAATTTTAGCCTAGACCACCGCTTTTTTCGTTTCTCATTTCCTTCTTCAACCCTGCAAATCCACGCAGTTCCACGCGGCAATTCCACAACCCCAAGCAAAGCAAAAACGAACTCGCCCAAGGAACATTACCTCGTCCCAAAAAGCGCAATCAGCCAAAAGCACTCGTTCCCCTTCCGGGCGTGCGTGGCTCATTTTATGCCATGGAATTTCCCCCCTCCCCCCTTCTGGAGCCTCATAAATGGGCTGGGTCTTAGGTGGGCCATTCCCGAAAGCCTTCCATCCAGGACTCGTGGTGGCCAGTAGGAGCACCTTTGGAAGGCATTCTTTTGGGAACGGGGTGCATCTGGGTCGTGGCACGTTGCCAAAAGTCGTTCAGAAGACAAAGGCAGTCATTTTTCTTCTTTAGAGGGCGCTTGGGAACATTTTTCAGTGTCTCGTCTGGGGATAGTCACGCATCAGATGTATTTCTCTCTTTCTCTGTAGGTTTGTCTCATTTTCTCGTTCCCTCCCCCTCTCTCACTCTCTCTCTCTCTCTCTCTCTCTCTCTCTCTCTCTCTCTCTCTCTCTTTCTCTCTCTCTTTCTCTCTCTCTCTCTCTCTCTCTCTTCTCTCTCTCTCTCTCTCTCTCGCTCTCTCTCGCTCTCTGTCTCTCTCTCGCTCTGCCTCGCTCTCTTCCTCTAGCTTCTTCCAGTCTTCCATCTTTTGCAGCAAGTACAAAATGTTTTGCTTGGCTAGACCCAATTTTGGCGGCTTATCCATGATCAGCTCTATGGGATCGGCTCCACTTAAAATTGAGCCATCCGCGGCAATGTACGCATTTTCAGATTTTTTGAATTGGAGGCTCTGAAAAATGTACATTTCCCGGGCATATATTTTAGTTGTTTTGAGAAATTGAGGGTATTTTTAGGTGTGACTTTGCACTTTAATGGGCTGCTCGCTCTCAAATTTCTAACATGACATTATATCAACTCCAAAATCCCTACAATATCTCACCCATCTTCTACCATATTCTCCCCCCAAGCAACCCGCCCCACACGCGCTTTTGAACCCCAGATTTATGATGCCGAAAACCAGGGGTTCCCCCCGAAAGCTGACCACCAACTACATAATTCCTCGAATTTCCGGCTGCTCGGCTTCCTTTAACCCCCGATTTGAACATGCATGAAATTGGGGGCTTTCAGTTTGGCAGCTGCGAAAACAGGCTTGCGTAGTGTTTGTGTGTAAAATAGGGTACCTGGAAAGCGGCTAGGTGAAGATTTCGGGTTCCGGCGGAGAAGGCTGGCTTGAGGGGAACGAGTTGGTAGCCGGTAGACATTGGGTCATGACTGTAAATGTTGTATTTAATCTAAAAATAATTTTATCTCTGTAATTTACTGTTCTCCCTCTCTCTCTCCCTCTCTCTCTCTCTCTCTTTCTTTTTTTCTTTCTCTTTCTCGCTCTCTCCTTCTCTGTAAGTAAGGTATGGTATAAAAGGTAGCAAGCAATTTACATGGAGGGGCCGCTAAATACAGCGATAGGGGGAGAGAGAGAGAGAGAGAGAGAGAGAGAGAGAGATCGAAAGAGCGAGAGAGAGACAGATGGAGAGAGGCCCTAGCGAGAAGAGAGAGCTATAAAGTGAGGGACCAAGCGAGAGAGGGCGAGAGAGAGCGGATATGGAGCGAGAGAGAGAGAAAGAGAGAGAAAAATGCGCCCCAAAACAATGATACCGTATCTGCGCGGAGCCCTTCTTCCCGGTGCCCTGGTCCCTGACCTCGACGACGAGATTTGTAACGGCTAAAATGTCGAAAATTCCTGTGGTAAGAGCAAGGCAAACTTGTCTGGTCGTTGAAGCATCGGCTGATATCTACCGTATCCGTCCATTTGCCTTCGGAGAGCTGAAAATTGAGGGCTTCTATCAGTTTTTAACATTTTCAGGCATGCTGTGGTATTTTTAAAAGGCCGGTGAAGGCATGATTCTATGGATAATTGATTCACTATTGATTTTCGACAATCTCGGTTTTAACTTGTTGTCGGTTTTTGTTTTCTTCAACTTTGGGCTTTAATATTTGCGGATTCATGGGTCCTAATCGATTAAGCAACCTATTTCCAAACGTAATCTCGGTATTTTTGGTATTTCCAATCGTATATTTTCTGTATTTTTGGCACTATTTCACAAGAATCTCTCTTTAAAACCCATTTCCAAACATCTCACTCGCCAAAAATATTGCTCATTCCGGAAAAAGCAAGAGCAGGTGCTGGAATATTAAATGCCATTTCTGAATGTTTAATGCCGGTGTTTCCCTTTCCGTACCGCAAACTCAACTCGTTTCATGTGTAACGGCACGTACTCGATATTTTAAATCTTTAGCTTTTGATTTTCAATTACGAGCAACCTACCAAACAACCCGTGATCCCCGTGACTTCCCCGCTAATTAATGGGGGGGGGGCACTTGAGTCAAATTTCCTGTTTTCTTTGGGTGGGGCGGGCTTCAGAAAAGTACCGTAGTGTAGCCCTGTTGTTTGTAGCACCGTTCTTGGTTTTTTGAGAAATTGGAAGCTCTGTCTTTCGCGTCATTTTTCCAACCCGGAATTAAATTACTGTAATTGTCAGGTCCGAGTGGGATCACGCTTTCTCTTTGGTGCTATGTTCTACTGAAAATTAGCGGGAAAAAATGATATTTGTAAGCCTGGAGACTACGTATAATGTACTGCTTTGGACAGGCTGATTTCTGAGGGTAGGAATTCCGTAAAAATTGGCTTAACTTTAAATCGATTCTCGTTCTCGCTTTTCGATTAGTTTCTTGGCGGTGCGCTTCATGTACGAATCGCAAAGGAATTTTTATTGTAAATTAATTTTTAAATTCCACATTGAATATTTTCCTTCGATTTTCTTGTTCTCGATCCGTTTTTCACATTTCAATTTTTTTATTTTTTTCTAACGTTTGCTTTAAAAAAAGGATTGTTTTTTTGTTGACTTCACGATGAAATAGATCATATTTTCGATTGGCGACTTTCCGTCAATTCTATCCGTGAAGCGCAACGCGTGAAATTACGCACATTGGCGCGTTGCGTGCGTTTTTCCTTAAAAAAACGTCACGGGTTTTCGTTATCCAGGAATTCCTAGTGATACGCGACGCGACCGCACGCGGCAGGACCAAGCATACAGCAGTCCGAATCGTTGTGGTCCTTAAAACGTCTTCAAGTCCTCCCATCCACCACCCTTTCCACATCCTTGTTTGTGTCACTTCAAGGCAAAATAGCGGGGATGGATAGTAAGGTTAGCCGGCCACTGGACTAGGATAATACGGCGAGCTGCCCCCATTTCCCGGGCCCACGGCCCAATTTCCCGTTCTCATTTCCCTTCGGTAGTGGGGGCTGTCAGCGGGCATCACATGAATGCCCTTCTGCGGCATCTAGCTGATAGCCATAATATTCCGGGTTCATCGGGGACTTGTTTTTCAGGGCGGTTGGGTTGGAAAAACTACGGTTGGTCCTTTGTGGCTTGGGCTTTTGGTACCGGGATGCTGGGTTACGGTCGCTGGTTTCTCTCTATCTCTCGCGCTATTTTGCTCTCTCTCGCTCTCTCTCGCTCTCTCTCGCTCTTTGCCTCTAATTCTTCCTTGCTATCTGTCTCTCCTTCCCTCTCTTTATCGTTTGCTAACGCTGCCTTTATTCTTTTACCTGTCTGTCTCTCTTACCCTCTCTCTCCTTCACTTTTTCTCCAACTTTTTCTATCTCTACCTTTATTCTTTGCGCTTTATCCATCGCGATCTCTAATTCACTCACTATTTCACGTTCTCTCGCTCTCTCTCGTGCCCTCTCTATTACTCTCCCGCTTCGCTCTCTCCCTCTCTTTCTGTCACCTCGAACGTGCTTTTTAAAGCTCAACCCCAGTCCCGGAAGTGCTCCCTAAAGCCGCAACTTTCTGCACCGGACAACTGGACATGCAATAAACCCGACGGCCCCACCACCAAATTTGGGCCCTTCAACCCCTTAAGGCCCACTTCAGGGGGGTGGTCGAGGGTCCGTTAGGGTCCTATTTTCGGCTCGTTGGCCCCTCTTTTCCAACCGGGACACTCAACCCGGATTGCCCGAGGAGGACCCAAAGATTTGTGTCCACTTTTCGGGTAACACGGTTTGCAAGGAGACTGGAGATTTGACCGGTTTGGTCCCTATTTTCTAGTCCAGTGGCTTCTATTTTGAGCCCTCAGGGGTTAGGTTTGTTTAGCGTCTGTACGTTGTTTTCGATGACGTTGGTGAGGAGTTTTTGGAAAGCCTTTTATGCGCGTTTGATACCCTTACTAACGCTGTGACCTAGGCTGTTACCTTTAAGAAAAACCGATACCTTTGCTTTTCTTTTTTCTTTTCTTTTAATAGGGCTGCTTCTAACAAAACGTTAATGTCCTCTTTTGACTTTAAAGTTGTCTTGGAAAACAACAAAATTAAATTCTTGAGATCAATTGGCATAAAAAATAGTTAAAATATACCTTAACAACCCTTTCAGATCGTATATATCTTGATTATAATGGCTTGCCCAATATCCATTGAATGCAACTATATGTCCGCCGTTAACATATCCATACGCAGAAGAACAATCTTTTTTTTTTTGACGGCGCACCGCGCTTGATGGTGAATTTACGAAAGTCAAGTTCAATCCCCCCCTCTCCGACGAATCCCTAAAGTTTGCAGTGTTGCGTTCGCGTCTCTTGAAAAACCGAAAATTTCGGGAACAATTCGCCCCGCATTGCATCCGGTAGTGGCGTCAGCAATTACCGCCAACGGGTCCAATTCTCCCAATTTTGGTGGCCATGGCCGTGCAACAATTCTAATCCGGCCAGGCTGCTCGGGTCCAATTTTGGCCCCCCGTAGGCGTTGAGTTGTGCGCGTAATAATGATCTTATGTCGCCAGGAAAGGAGAATAAAGAATATAATATGCGGTTCAATAGTTTGCGTGAAACTTAGTGAAGTTTAGAGTATTTGTAACCTGAGACGCATCACTTATAAACCACTTGCTGCCGCGTCATTGCGTAGCTTCCGTACTTCGAATACAGTAATCCTAGGCAAGATCTCACTGTAGAAATTTTATTTATTCACTACAATACCATTTTATCCCTTAACTACTGTAAAACACAAAAAAGTACAAATTCGATCGGGTTTTTGGTGCTACAGGACCCCAACGTACTGTAGAAATTACTTCGAATACAGTAATCGTAGGCAAGATCTCGCTGTAGAAATTTTTTTTATTCACTACAATACCATTTTATCCCTTAACTACTGTAAAACATAAAAAAGTACAAATTCGATCGGGTTTTTGGTGCTACAGTACCCAACGTACTGTAGAAATTACTTCGAATACAGTAATCGTAGGCAAGATCTCGCTGTAGAAATTTTTTTTATTCACTACAATACCATTTTATCCCTTAACTACTGTAAAACATAAAAAAGTACAAATTCGATCGGGTTTTTGGTGCTACAGTACCCCAAAGTACTGTAGAAATGGCAAGCTACAGTCATCTTGAATCACTCAACCCCTTGAATTCAGCTGATTCAGAAAAATTATAAATTCTCATTCTCAGAATTTTTTGTGGCGTACCGTACCCCCCAACATCTGCCACCTGCCGTTTCCATTGAACAATGCATGCAGGGCGCAAATTCAATTTTTTTGCTATCGGCACGTCCGATACCGGAGGAGAGGACTTTGGAGCCGCTCGTCTCATTAGCCTATTTCGGGGGGTTGATGCCTTTAGAAGTCCCGCCCGGTGCAGGTCGGTGCATAGAAAAACGAGCCTCGCTGACCACGGCCGGCTAAATTGGGTGTTTCCCCAAATAGAATGTGTAGATCTTGGCCAGAGGGGGGAAGTGTGGGCCCGATTTGGGGGGACGGGTCACTAATTTCCAGGCGCTAATTTGGGCCTACGGGTCCGGGTGAATCGAAGAAGTTAATCTTTGGTTCCTGTTCGGGGAATGGACTTTGTTCTGAAATAATATTTTCCTACAAAACACAAAAATCACCGGCAATGATTTTTAGTTTCCATGTTTCAAACTGAGAATCAACTTTAAAACTAATATAATGGCTTGGAAAGAACTGAGAAAAATCTAGCTCTATAAATCTCTCTAGCTGGCATAAACATGCAACCAGAATCCGCATTAGCGATTATATTTACTAGTTTCAGTTACTTTGCACTGCTTTTTTTAGGTATCACTGTATTAACCTGGATAGCTCTTTTATTTTTACTGTATTAACTAGGGTACGCTTTCTACAGGGTGTCCCAAAAAAATCCCCCCTAGCCGGCCGCAGACGTGTCCGATTTTTACAATTTAGGTATCTATCGAAAGCTCTCGGAAAGGCGAGTCCAGCACGTCTTGCCGATTTTCGAAATGTCGGAATTTTTTGCTCGATTTTCGGCATTTTTCAAGCCAAAAGTACAGGCTTTTTTGTTAAAAACGCAATTTAGCCGGTTTAAGCGCTGTCCAAGCTGTGTTTTGGCAAACGGCTTTCAAAAAGCTGTCGTTGGGTTGCCAGGAAAGACGTAAAAATTCTTAAATTGCGATTTTTGTAAAAAACGCCCTGGTCAGAACAACACCAGAAAATCCGTCCGTTTTGCAAAAACATTAGTAGCTGATGGAGAAATTTGAAAATTATGAAAATCGAAGAGCCGTGCTGGACTCGCCGTTCCGAGAGCTTTCGATAGATACCTAAATCGTAAAAATCGGACAGGTCTGCGGCCGGCTAGGGGGGTTTTTTTTGGGACACCCTGTATGTATTACTGTATACATCATGGTATGCTTTTTCTAGTAGGTACTGCATACCGAAACGTGTTGAAGCGTTACGGCAACGCTACTGGATGCTTTTTCTAGGAATTACCAAGTGAAATACCGAAGCAATTTTTTAGGTATTACGGTATAAACTACACTATACGTTTAGCAGTTCTAGCATCCGTTGAAATTCTAAACCATTTTTATCGCAAGCCAGTCATCGCAAAGCCCCGAGGACTACGGTAACAGCCTCAAATTTCCCCGCTCAACCCCTTCCGCTTCCTGTTTGTCACGTTTCCTCGTAAAATCAAAACACGGACCCACACTCCCCTCTAGCCGCCCATCCCACGGGGTCTTCGATCCGGCTTCTCCCCCCCCCATAACTCACTTGGACCCCCCAGATACTCTCCCTTATTAACCAAGCCCGAGGATAAGGCCCGAATGTTGCATTAAGTGAAGGAGACGAGGGGTGTCAGTTCCGCCGTCATGCGACCCGGCCCCAGGCTCAAGGCCAAAAATCCGGGGTTGCGGAGGAGTCCGGCTCGCAACATGCTCGCATTGCTCGCGTAAAACGAGCCTCATTCGCCCATTAACATGTTGCGACGCGCCAAAAATTGGATTCCCCGTCGGCCGGATGGACGCCTACGTAACAGGCTGTATTCTGTGAACTCGTTAGCTTTTTGCCTTGTCTTGAAACAGTCCAAGTTTGCGTACTTTTGGAGTTTAATTTTGGACATGTGTTGCGCCCCTTAAAATGTCTTTGCTGGGTCGCGAGGCTTTTTTAGCAGTTCCATTTTTTAGCAGAAATTAAATTTTTCTAATCTCGAAAATTTTCGGGTTACGGTGCCTAAAATTTCGCATAAACCCCTTTTCGAAAAAATTCCAAGAATTTTTCAAAAAAAGATATTGGGATCACTGTGACGCCCAAAGATCCACCACACAAAAAGCTTATCGAATTAGCATTTTTTGAACTGTAAAAGTATGCTATTTTTGCAGTAACTCGACTAATTTTATTCTCTTGGGATTTTCACGTTTCGAATTTAGAAGTTCAGCATCAGATTCTTTGCTGAATTCCGCACTTCCAGGCTTCATTTTTAAAACTTTTTTTTGAGCTCTGAAATCTTCCAGGCGTATTCTTGTCCAATCGTTGTATAGAACAACCCTTAAAACCCACGAGGCATCCGGATTTTGGTCTTAATTTTTCGCATGAAAAGCATTTTGTATTTCTCCGGCTAGCAACAAATTCAGAACCTCTTGTTTCCTTCCAAGCTACAGTCGAGCCAGACAGCCCGTTTCCCAAAAAACCAGAATAAACCCGAAAAATCCTTGCCGGGTCGCCGGCTTTTTTCCAACAAAAAAAATTCCCCCAAGCCACCTAGAAGGCGGTCATTGGAGCAAAAAACGAGGGCTCAACAGCCGCTCTCTTCACCCTGCCGAGGGTCCCACAACGAAATGCCGCCTCCTCTGTAATTCG